AGACTAGCAATAGAACAATACAAGCACATAACCGAAAAGAGTACAAGAAACAAATATGCGAAGCAGGAAATGATTACTATAAGAAATCACGATTTATATTCCTCAATATCACGACAAATCCTTTCCTTAGAGCGATAACCAACAAACCATGGTAGTAAATCCATAACTTTCATAGTGTGAGAAATGCACTCAAGATATCAAGTCAAATGGCACGGCAACACCCTTCGTGCATTTATCTCATCCTCACCAAATATTCGTATAACAGTACCAACCAAGTTAATAAAATACCAATAACAGTAAATGACAAAGTGGAAATACACAGGTAGCAATAATGAACAAGGTAGTATATATAGACAGTTGTAACAAACTAGGTAGAAGGCATAGAAGTAATGACAACAATTAGGAAAGAAGAACATAAATTTCACTAACTAACATGGTAGAAGGCCTAGATGTAGATATAACAAAAAGAGGGAAAGCATGATATTTGTAAGCTAACAAATAGAAGGCATGAACAACTAACATGGAAGAAGGATTATACGAAAGTGCAACAAGTGAGGAACGGCATAGATGTAGGTATGACAAACAAAAAGGAAAAACATGATATTTGCAAGTTAAGCAAATAGAAGGCATGGATAATACAACTACAATTGAGGTAGAGGACAAAGACAGAATAACAACGACAAGTCACATAAAAAAATATAGGTGCAACAGTAATAGATTAAGATAAAAGGCTTGAATATATACACAAGAAAAAGATATCACGCGTGTATTTCGCCCTCGCCTGCACGGGAACACCCTTTATTCCATGAACGCATGATAATATAAAAACATGATAATGTAAATGAAATGACACGGCATCACCCTTCGTACTTTTACTCTCATCCTCACTTGATAATGTAAATGAAAACATGACAATGTAAATGAAATGGCACGGCATCACCCTTCGTGTTTTTACTCTCATCCTCACATGATAATGTAAATGAAATGGCACGACATCACCCTTCGTGTTTTTACTCTCATCCTCACGTGATAATGTAAATGAGATGGCACGTCATCACCCTTCGTGCCTTACACTCTTCCTCACATGATAATGTATATGCAATGACACGACATCACCCTTCGTGATTTACACTTTTCCTCAGCAAGCACATGTATATCAATGACAAGCAAGGTAAGAAGCATGAATAACATCAAGGATAGTGGTTAAACGAATATTCCAAATGAACATCAATCACAGCTTTCAAGCCAATAACAATTCAATAAACCTCAAGAACCTTATTGTTCAATTATTTCAACAAGTCTCAAAAATGATCTTCAACACAAGTATAGGATCCAATATCTCAATAATAATGGTCGTAGTGATGTATTAGTGATTTAGCATAGTGATGACCAAATTTAATACATCAATAGTTTCACAAAAATCCGTCAAATTTTAATCAGGTTATAATAAACAAAATCTTGGTTTCTAGCATTTAATTTCATATTCTTAGTAATCTAGAAGTCAAGTAAGACATGAAACAAGAACGTCACGTAATTCTACAAGGCATAATTAATCGTATAATTTATCCCCGAGCATGATTAACCCTGGCACATGAATATACGCTCGTCACATTATTTATGCATCACCCCCGCATGTGGAAAACAATGGAAATTAGTAGGAAAAATTGCCCCAACAAAGTTAGGCAAGACATTTACCTCAAACAAGCCAATCGATACACTAGAAGTGTCATTCCACTCAAATCATCCTTCGAACGGCTCGAAAGTAGCCAAAAGAACCTCAAAATCATCAAATAATGCCACAGGAAGCAAACCCAATCGATAAAGGTCGAATCTTTACACATTTACTCAAAGTCAACCAAAAAGTTAAACCCGGGCCCGCACCTCGGAACCCGACAAAACTCACAAAAACCGACAACCCATTCAATTATGAGTCCAACCATACTAATTTCACTCAAATCGGATTCCGAATCGATGTTCAATACCTAAAAATTCACTTTAGGAAAGTTTAGACAAAAACCCCCCAATTTCTCTTTCAAAATCATAATCCAAATGCCAAAATCGAAGATAGATTCATGAAATATAATAAAAACCAAGTAGAGAAAACTTACCCCAATCCTTATGGTAAACAATCGCTCAAATCCGAGTCTAGGGTTCAAAATATGAAAGAATAAGCTAAAATCCCCAAATTCCAACTCTTAATCCAGCTGCAGATGTCGCATTTGCGACCAAAAGTTCGCAATTGCGACCAAGGTTGCAATTGCGACCAGATGTTTGCAAATGTGGTAGTTCGCAATTGCGAAGTACCAGCACCAGCAAACCCAAACTTCACTGAAATGATCTAAAACCACCCCGAAACTCATCCGGAACCTCCCGGACACAAACAATATATGCATTTCAATCATAAAACACGCTACGGACCTACTCGCGCCCTCACGACACCGAAAAGAGATCGTCTTGACTCGATATTGACCATGGTCAAACTCCAAATTTTTTAACTTAACTAGTCTCTCAATCAACGATCCAAAATACACCCGAGCCCCTCGGGACCCCGTCAAATCATACCAACAAGTCCAAAATATAACACGGACCTACTCGAGGCATCAAATCTCAAATAGCAACATTAAAACCATGAATCACACCTCATATCAAACTTTATGAACTTTTGAACTTTCAACTTCCAAAAGTCGTGCCGAACCATATCAAATGAGCTTGGAATGACATCAAATTTTGTACACAAGTTCTATTCGAACTCCCAGAACCACAATCTGAACCTGATAATATCAAAGTCAACTCCCGGTCAAACTTATGAACATTCCAAACCTTCAAATTTTTAACTTTCGCCAAATAGTGCCGAAACCTTCTAAAACCATCCAAATAAAAGTACAAGCACACCACCAACCCAAAATCACCATCCGGACCTATCGGAACCATCTAAAATCCAATCCGAGGCCAAATACATAAAAGTCAAACTTGGTCAATTCTTCCAACTTAAAGCTTCTAACATGAGATTCATTCCTCCAAATCCACTTTGAGGCACCTGAAAACCAAAACTGACGATTCGCACAAGTCATAATACATCATATGAAGCTGCTTAAGACTTCAAACGACTGAACGAAATGTAGATGCTCAAAACGACCGGTTGGATCATTACAGAGGTTTCTCCTTTTGGGGTTCCTCTGAGGAGAACTTCTAAGAATATAAATCCTCTTTTACTGATGAAGGACTTTGTAACCTTGCTAGTTTATCAAGATGTTCCCTATACTTTCTCTCACTATATGACTTATGAGACCTTAGCACTGTCATATCAGGCTTACATAGCAACTCTATTTTCTATTGTGGAGCCATCATTCGATGCTAAAGCTATCAATGACCCTAGATGAGTTGAGGTTATGCAATCTAAGATTGCTGCTCTAGAGCAATCACACTTAGGATGTAGTTCATTTACCAATAAGAAAAACTGCATGTGGATATATATCGTGAAGTACAAGGCCACAAGTGAGGTAGAGAGGTTCAAAGCAGACTAATATGGACAAAAAGATATAGTCAAAGAGAAGAGATTGACTACTCGAAGACTTTTTTGCATGTTGTAAAAATGGTAACAACTAGGACCATCTTACCTATTGCAGTTGCACAGCATTGGCATATCCATCAGATAGATGCATATAATGCATTTTTATTAGATGACTTTCTTGATGAAATCTATATGGAATCACCTCAGGGATTTCAGAGTGAGGGGAAGAGATATGTAGACTCATAGACGTTGAGTATGATGCTAAGCTTTCAGAAGTTCTTTTGTGCTATGGTTTTAGTCAACATGACTATTCGCTATTTATGAAAAAAACTAACAACAACATTATAGCAATATTGGTATATGTAGACGATATGTTGATTACAGGTAGTCATTTAGAACTTATAGAGAGTACAAAGTTAACCTTACAACAAGACTTTAAGATAAGGATCTCGGAGAGCTAAAGTACTTCCCAGGAATAGAGTTTGTAAGGAGTAAAGATGGATTGTTGATGCATTATAAAAAATATGCCTTAGAGCTGATATGTGATATGGGAATAGGAGCATCTACACCAGCTAATACTCCACTTGAAGTCAATACTAAGCTAACTACTAAGTAATTTGATGATCATGTAGAAGCATCAAGTTGCAGCAGAGGTGAGTTGTTGCCTGATATAGGAATGTATCAGAGATTAATTGGGAAGTTACTATAATTTATAATAACCAGGCCTAACATATCATTTGGTGGGTGGACTCTAAACCAGTTCCTACAGCAACCTAAGCAGTCTCACATTGATACTACCTGAAGGGTGGTTAGATATGTAAAACAAAGACCAGGACAAGGAGTGTTGTTGTCAAGCTGCAACAATGGAACTGCGACAGCATTCTGTGATGTTGACTTAGCAGCTTGCCCACACTCTAGAAAGTCAGTGGCAGAATTCTTCATCAAAGTTGGGAGATTATTTGGTTTCTTGGAAGTCAAAGAAGCAGGCCATAATGTCTAGAAGCTCTGTAGAGCAGAGTGCAGAAGCCTTGTCTCTATAGTTGCAGAGCTAACATGGCTTTTAAAATTAATAAAGGAAGTTGGGATTGAGGTGAAACTACCGATTAATATCCATATTGACAGCAAGATAGCCATATAGATACCTGCAAATCTAATTTTTGATGAAAGAACGAAGCACATTGAAATAGATTGTCACCTCATTAGGGAGAAAATTCTGCAGGGCATGGTGAAGACTGAGTATATCAATACCAGGGATCAGCAGATCTGTTGACAAAGGGACTTGGCAATATGCAATATGAATACTTGAGTTCCAAGCTTGGTGTACTTAATGTATTTGTACTACCTAGCTTGAGGGGGACTAATAAAGAAGGAGTCACTTGACACGTGGCTACAAGAGCTTTTTGGTCAATTTAACAGTGAGTGGTTAATAGAGATTGTTGGCTTTAGTTAGCTGTGTATATAAAGCAGCCGCGTACAATGAAAGCAATTTAATTTTCTCATTTTCTCAATTCTCTTTGTTGATCCTGAACTTTGCTCTCAACTAGAGTTCCATGTATGCTCTCAATACAATAATTTGATAAATAGATCAATATTGCTTATTGAAATCCTAATGCCACTAATGCCTACCATATGCACATATATGGGCATGGGTTTGGTAATTAAGTTGTTTTCTTCTTCTTCTTTTTTCTTTTATCCTTTTTCGGTTAAGTTGATGTTATTTCAAATATTGCAGCATGAATATAGAAGGTTGGACGTTCATGGTGGCACTTGGGTTCAATGCCGCAATAAGGTGTGTGTATATATATATATATATTATCCCACTTAGATTATAATGACTATCACTTAATTCGCAAGCTGTTATTAGAGCAAGCAACACCCCTAAAATTGTTATCACTTTGATGCAGCGTGAGAGTATCAAATGAACTAGGAGCAGGGCATCCAAACACTGCAAAATTTTCAGTAATAATAGCCTCCATCACTTCTCTTTTAGCCGGCGTCTTCCTCTCATTGGTTCTACTTTTTTCTCGGAGTTGGTATCCTCCATTGTTTTCAAATAGTGAGGAAGTCCAGCAAGTTGTATATGAGCTCACGCCTATGTTAGCAGTCACCATTATTGTTAGCAGTCTTCAACCTACTCTTTCTGGTACTCAACTTACCTGCTCTTTCAATCTTCTCTTTAATCTTTTTTGCACAATTATTTTATTGGCTGATAAAGCGGACGGAATATAGAAGATTTGGGATAATTTCATGGTCACCTAACTTTTAATTTATCGCGCCCACGTCATCAAAGTAGACTACCACATGTATATACAATCGTCTAAGCGTGAAGGTTGGTGACTTGGTAGATTTGCTGTAATTGCAGGGGTGGCCATAGGAGCAGGGTGGCAAGCATATGTTGCATATGTTAACATAGCTTGCTACTATTTGTTTGGTATTCCCATAGGTCTCACACTTGGCTTCCTCCTTGACATTGGCGTTAAGGTAAGAGTTCCTTTATCTCACTTGTAAAAAAATTGTTAATAGCATTCAGAATCAATTTCCATAGGAACATCAGCTCCAAGATTCTTATATTTAAATGTTGTGCATGAAATTCTCAGGGTATCTGGTATGGGATGCTAGCAGGTATGACTCTTCAAACTGGTGTCTTGATCATGATGGTCCTTCGAACTAATTGGAACAAGGAGGTAAGACACACATCAAGAATCAAACTGTTGTTTTTTCAAGTTATATATACGGACAATTATAAAGATTTTTATATTATCATTGTAGTTTAACCCATGATAGAAGTTAGTTATCATTTATATCATGTTTTTTTCTCAAAGTTTATTTACGTATAATTACCTTAACAGTAACCCAATAGTGTAAATATTTGTTACCCAGTTAATGCATAGAACTAATCTCATATTTAAAAGAGACGTTGACTATTTTCACTTCGGTCATTCGATACAGGCTTCCCTTGCCAGAGACAGAATAAAACAATGGGGGGGAGACTCGGAGGTGAAAGAAAATGGTGAAAACCTTGTTAGCTGAGTGCAGGCCAAATTGTAATTATACTGCCTGTGTAATCGAAATGCCACAAAAGATTATAGAGAACAAAGTATAATAGTTTGCATTTATGTCAATTCTTTCAATATTCACGATTCACAAAGGAATCTAATGTTTGGAAAAAAAAATAATTAGAAGATCACCTAGGACATGTTCGTTTGAAGCATATAAGACCATTGTGATGTGTTTGCCAAAACGAATCTGAAGCTCTAGCTCCGCCCCTGGACACAAATACTTGTCTGCTAGATCAGATGATCAAATGGACCCTTTGGAGAAATTTCATGCCACGTAAACCAAGGCATACAGTCTACTGGTACCGGTGAGAGTCTCCTACATGATACATGTAGGTTCAATTCTCATTATCTCCTTCCCCTTTCCCTAATCCCCCCCAATGCAATAGGAAAAATTAGAGAAAAGGTAAAAGAGGGGAAATTTTATCATTAAACTAAATAGTACGTTGTTTTCTGGGGTTTAGGGAGGAGAAAGAAAAATTAAACCATCAAACATGCAAACAGAAGATAAATGCGAAGTGCAGTGCATGGCAGAATCAATATTCACTAATCATATTAAAGATGGTAATATACAACAGGCGTAAGAATGGCAATACACATCAGCCTATACCAATAAAGAATAGAAAGCTAGACAATAAACATCTTTACTTGTATATACTTCACTTTTGCAAAAAGAGTGCAGCTCCAACCAATGCTATCCATATTGTTAAAATTGCCCAGAATGATTGGCTATTCTCCATACCAACTGCTGGTTTCCACACCATAAAGTCCCCCAACCAGTCCCTGTTTGATGGAAGCTGATTTGTTGTTGACCGACTTTGTCTTTCATCTTTGTCCTTGTTTTTGTCAGTCCATGTTCCAGCATAACTGCACAAAGAAGAACAGGAAAAAATGAAGGGAATTTCGCACTGATCTTCAACGATTCTTGGAATCACTCACCCGCAGAAGGCGTGAGTTCCTCTAACCGCATGGTTCTTAAAAGAATTACTTCATAGGAATATTATCATGAATAAGGAATTGTCACCAAAGTAGCAAAAATGATTAAACAGCCTAATGTAAAAAGAAGAAATCAATGTTACCCACCTACTCATCATTAGTATATGTTAAATAAAAATATGCTCAGAACTCCATACTAACGTGTTACAACCTGCTGATACATGTTACACCAGATCGTGGCATCACATACTATACAAATGTTCTCATTCAGTTACTGCTAGGCTTCTTGCATGGGTAAATGAATCTAATATGTTTCATTCAATCAATTTCTAACCAGAGGCTGGCAGGGGCGGATCTACAGTGTAAATAGGGGTTCACGTGAACCCACGGTCTTCCCAACAAATCAGGTTTTCCATGTACATAATTTAAAAAAAGGGTCTAAGATCAACTTTGGGAACCCATGCTCTATAAGGTTAAGTGGTTCACTGGTTGGAAAGATGTTTTACTTCCCCAACAACAAGGGATCGTATCCCTCTTGGGACTCTCGCTTCCTGCACTTCTCTTTTAGTTTTTTTCTTTCTTTCATTTGTTTTTCCCTCTATATATGTGAATTACTTACAAAATAAAGTATATGTTGTAATAAAACATTATAGACGAAGTCCAATAATTTGATTGAAACAAAAATATTCATGCAAGTTATTGTGTAATTTAATGTTCGGTCAATAATTTGCAAACCACAACTAAAATATTCCTTAAAAAGCTATGCTAATTATTCAAGCTCTTTGAGGTAAAAGCAATTAAAAACTAAAAAGCAAAAAGGGTAAAGAGAAAATTACTTGAAAGATCGCAATTAAGATTGATGTAAGAACTAAATGGTTTAAGAAGTGTATAAGTTATCTCTTTAAATAATATTTAAAATTGACAATAGGTCATAATACACTAAATGTTCCCATATCAATTGACATTGTTCACCAGGAAAAAAATTGGCACTATTTACAAGCACTAAATTTGGTTAAAGCCGGTAGTGCACCCATCGACTTAAAAACCTGGATCCGCCTCTGGAGGCTGGAGACAGGATTTGAAACTTATGGATTCGGAATTTTAATTTGTTTAAGTTACTAGGTTTTAGATAAAGAATTTTTATATAATTCAACGAATTCTTAAGATACAAGGTTTGGATTAAAGCTACTGGGTTTAGCCGAACCCGCAACCGAAAGGCTAGCTCCGCCCCTGTTTCTAACTTCAGTAGGGTTGTCTGCAATACAACTAGTTAGACAATCCAAGCACATCAACAAGCTTCAGTTTCTTAGAAAGGCCTCATATCTGATCATACCCCTTAAAATTGGCACATTATGAGCTGAAAATCTACTTCGCATAAAAGGTATCCTCATTCATTTCGGAAGAAAAAAGAGATTCCAAAGGTCCTACCAGGAAAAGGCACCCTCAACCATGAAACAAAATACTTCAAAATGAGAAATGAAAAAAGAAAGAAAGAACGAGAGAAGGAGAGGAAGAAGGAGAATAAAACCCCAATAATTTATTCATCTAAAGCGGCAACACAAGAAAAAGTTCTCGTTAATCATTTGAAGTCACATTCCTAACCTGACCCTTGCTATCCACTGCCGCAAAAAAATTTACATTTATCGGCAAAAGAGGGAGGAGAGAGGGTACATAACAGAAAAGCACATTAAAAAACTTCAATTGTTCAACTGCTCTGCTACTTCTATGCTTTAACCCGTACATATCTCGGAAGCATTTTCGTATTTTCCAATAATCCATGGATGCTAAAAGTAGCATGCAAAAGAACACAAAACAATTTTAATTACGTTATTGTCACAATTATATTGATGCTAGCTAGTAACATTATGCTTAAGTCATTATCATATTAAAACAAATGCAACACTAGCAAACCATATTAATTTCCCCAAGCACTTGCATATCACGCCCGCTGTGTAGAGGCAAGTAATTGATACTGTCTTAATTAGCTAACATATGCAATATAATATTGCATGACTGGAACTTACCTATCATAGCTAGAACCGATTAGTGGTATGGTAACCATTTCTTCTTGAGATATCTTCAGCTTAGGTGCTTGCAATATATAGCGAAGCTCTGCAGCTTGACGTCGGATGCTGATACTGGGATGTTTCCTTTCTAATTGCTTATACAAATCAATGCAGTCAGTATGGCGGTTATTAGCTTCATAAGCCATAGCAAGCCATATTTGTATCTGAAAGTTCAATTTGCAAAGGCAATTAGTCTTAGAACAAAAATTAGCACAACTTGTGTGTGGTTATTCGGGAAGTGATCGCCACTAACCTCTCCACCGAACAAGGTTGGTCTAGGAATGATAGTAAGAGCACCCTCGAGGAACTCTATTGCACGTCCATACATGCCCTTCCCATAAGCCTTCTGGCCCAATTCAAACATTAATTGAGCAGTTTTCCTGCGTTCTGATTGCTCTTTTGCCACCTAAATTTCAAACCAAAATAAAAAATGATAATTTAAAGGATCTGAAATGTTTTATCAAACCCGACTTTTAACCAAGTCATTTAAAAGATAATTTCACCCATATCAACATCATCATGAGAAAGCTTCACCACATACAACAGTATGTATTTTACGAAGCATGCAAGTGAAATATATATGCAATAATAGTTGTTAAGGGTAATTTTCAGCAAATTTCAGCTCTTCCAGAGTTTCTTGGTTGCAAATAAATACCTACTCAAATTAGAAAAGCGTTCCCAATTACTGAAAAATAGGTTTTAGCCACTGATGCACTACAAATGTGGCGCTACAGAGGATCCTGAAATAGTACTCTCATTTCTGCTATTCCAAATACAATTTTTCAACCGTATGTTACCCACCTTAGTTTCCCTTCTTTTGCTCCCTGCCTACCATGCTTCAAAATTGAATTAGCAGTTAGTCAAATCTAGATGAAAGACGAATAAGACTATCACTTGTACATCAGAAAAGGCCACACTGCTCCTTTTATAGGTTGCTTCAATAGCTATTCATCTCCCAAGTGCTAATATGTAAACCAGGTTACCAATATGAAGAGAGAAAGCATCTTATGGATCGAGGCGGAGCTAGGTGGGGGAAAGGGGTTCAGCTGAACCCCCTTAGCTCGAAAATTACATTGTATATATAAGGTTAACATTTTTTTCATATACAATCTTGCTTCCGCCCCTGTTATGGATACACATATATACAACTTTCAGGTTCCTTTAGTTCATTAGGTGATCTCTTCTTGCCTGCCTAAACCTAGATGGACTAAGTTAAGTAGCAGCTACTCAATCGACTAATCGTGAGCGCACAAACTACACCAAACATCACCAATATAAAAAAATAGTAATACCATAGAATAATAAAACATGGATTGTTATAACAAAGCCTGACCTTTTCGAGCTCCCTTCGAACTCTCTCCCGCTTCTCCTCCTCAGTCTCTTCGCTACTTTCACCTTCCTCACCAAACTCCTCATCGACCCGATTCTGCAACTCCTCAGCTTTCTTCTCCAACTCCTTCATCTCTTCTATCTCCTTCACTCTCCTCCTCATCTCTTTCTCCCAACCAAACTCTTCTCCACTTTCTCCTTCATCCTCAAACCCATTTCCATTCTCATCATCACTTAAATTCTCATAATCCACAGCACCCACTTTCGAATTCACTTTTCCTCTAAAACCCACTTTCGGATTTACTCTATCTTTCTCATTTTCAAACCCACTACAAGTGTACATGCTTTGATTCTGACATGGGTCTTTCTTTACAAAAAAGTTCAAAAGAACGTCTCTTGTTTTGCGATCTGGTAACACGATCGCAGCACGTGGGGTGGTCACGTGAGTTCCGTCGAGTAATAGTGCTATGTTTCCGACCACTACCGCCATTTCCGATGATGGACTGTTCAAATGAGAGATGGAGGAATAATGGAGTTGGAATTTTCAAAACTGGGGAAGCTTTGAAATGAAAAGTAGATATTTCTAGCATATCAGTACCGAAATGACGAAAAAGACCGTTTCTTTTGTGGTTTTGTGATGCTGAGTTTGTTGTAAATATTTGGAAATTGTTTGGGCAATAATGGGTGCAAGAAAATGGAAGACGTGGCCCTTCGTTAACGAGAGCCGTG